GTGACTTTTTTGTTTGTTACCCTACCTTGGGAGAGGGAGAGGGGGGGGGGGGGAGAGAGAGAGAGAGAGAGAGAGAGAGAGAGAGAGAGAGAGAGAGAGAGAGAGAGAGAGAGAGAGAGAGAGAAAGAGAAGAGGAGAGAGAGAGAGAGAGAGAGAGAGAGAGAGAGAGAGAGAGAAAGAGAAGAGGAGAGAGAGAGAGAGAGAGAGAGAGAGAGAGAGAGAGAGAGAGAGAGAGAGAGAGAGAGAGAGAGAGAGAGAGAGAGAGAGAGAGAGAGAGAGAGAGGAAGAGATAGAGGAATCCAGAAAGCACTAACAGAGGGAGGGTGGTGAGGGTGACAGGGAGGGTGTCGTCGAAAGCGCAATGAGTAGTCTAGCCTACCGTAGGCCTACTTAATGTATCGAGATAAATCGAGATCAAGAAGAATCACGAAATGAAAGTAGAATCTAGATCTGTGATATTTCAATAACCTTTTGAATATTGAAAGTGGATTTTTCTTGCTGAGCATTATAGATTCTAAGTTCTAGATCTAGGCTAGATTTATGTGAATCTTAGATCGAGATCAAGAATGATGAAAGTATTGAACGTGGATATTTTCCTGCTGTGAATAGATCTAGAGTCTAGAATTAGGCTGAAGGGGAATCTAGATCGAGATAAAAAATCATCAAAGTATTCTTGAAAGTGAATTTTTCCTACTGTGAACAGATCTAGAAATCTAAGGCCATCTGTGACGCCTGTCGGTTGTTAAAAATTGTGAATTTCTAAACTTAGATCGATCTAAGGGGCAAGGCTCCTTCTTTCAATTATTGGCCTATCTCTTTATAATCCTTCGAGATCTAGGCTAGATCTAGAATCTAGATTAGGTTCTTCTAGGAAGCAACAATTGGCATGTAGGCCTAACTCTTTTAAAAAGTGATTCAGCTGGAACTTTAGGAGAAAATGCCACGCCTTCGAAGAGGGAGAAGAAGTCTTACCCCTAGAGGTAGTCAAGAGGTGGTGCTACATGGATGAATTCAAGGTAAAATATTTAAGTTGTTGCTTCTTTCCTGTTTTCAGTCTTTTTTCTCTTTTTAGCTTTCCTAATAATTCTTCACTATTATTCCGTTCGTAGAACAGGTACTTTTATTACTAATAAATACTAATAAAAAATCCTAGTGGGTGGTTTCTACTGATATTAAAAGGTTTACAGCTGGGACGATGTCGCTTTTTAAAAGCAAGTCCGTCATTTTTGTCTAATCGCGAGATTGCCTTTATTGAACGCATGTTTTGAGAACTTTTAGAAAAAAAAGTGTTCACTTTAAAATTAATTTCTTGTAACTAGTTTTACCACTAAAAACGGTGATCTTTGACGTAGGCTTTATCAAAGATAGTACATAATAAGATGGTCCACCATAGAGTTAACCCCTTTTAAGTGCCTATAGTGTACATCTATGTGGTCCACTGAGCCAAAAAAGTGTCCGCCGGAAGTTCGCTCTTTGCTTCAGATGGCGCTGCAGTCTGTTTTGAAGCTCTCTTTCGTTTTTACAGAAGAAGAACAGGAAAGCACCTCCTTGCGTGCGCAGATCGACTGCTGTTCATCAGCAGTTCGGGAGTGCGGAGTTTTAGGTTTTAAAAAATATTTTAATGACCTCTCGCCTTTCATTCTAAAGTCAAATTAAACGAAGAAAACAATCACCCTTTCCTCCGGAAGAGTTTTGTTGTCAGCGTAACCATAAAAAAAAAAAGCGTTCTTCCGAAATTTATTAAAAAACCTGCTAGTTTCACTTTGATTTTTTAAAACTCAAGTAGGGTAACTCTGTTCGCAAAGGGTGCCCATTTGCGAAGAGGGCACCACCGAATTTTGAGGACACTTTTTTAATTAGCTCAAAGAGAGAAGTGGCCCCTCTTGTTATGTAGACTCTTTGGCTATATGTGTATACAAAATGTGTGTGAGAAGCGGAAAGTGCTGTGAACAATTCCATTTTCCGCGTGAAGGAGATTTGCAGTATTTTATATAAATTTCTGAAGAAAAGTTTTCTAATCTAGTCTCAAATGTTGTGGAAAAATATGATTAAGTTAAGACAAATTGACACAAACTGCTGTGCAAAGAATGGATGACATTGCTTCACCCGTTAAAAAGATATTTGGGGATAAATTGCACCTCGAATTTTTTACTGGACTATAGTAGTGTAAATCTATGCCCAGGCCCAACAAAATTTGTGCAAGAAGTGTGAAGGGCTGTGAACTATCCCATTTTCCGCGTGACGGAGATTTATAGTGTTCTATATAAATATGTATGAAGAAAATTTTTTTTAAATCTAGCCTCAGTCGTAGTGGAAAAATTTTACAAATTAGTTGCAGCAAAATGAAACATTCCGTGACCGTGGAGCGCGGAAGTCGCGTTCTTTGGCTTTTTGGAGACTTTAGGAGTTAAAAAGAAAATTTAGCTCCC